GATACTGCCTCAGAAACCCAAGGAGGGGTCGCTGTGAGTTGGATCCGACTCGATGGCAGCTGAGTTTGGTTTTTTTGCTTTATGATGAAATTAATTAAACCAGCATTTTATGATGTTTTTCACAAAGACCAGCATAACTTTCACAAAAACCATCATCATTGGTCCATATAAAGTCAATTTCAGTATATACAGTATTTTTAACAGGAAATAAAGACTTTGAGTCCTAATGATGTAATAGTCAAGACAATGTATACCCATGTATATCTATTTAGAAACATTTTATAATTTACACTTAGCATTTAAGATTCCCCACCAGCAGCCACTCCTTGGAAGGAAGGTTGGGCAATCTACTTCTGTAGTGATATTGCCTTGGAAACTCAAGGACAGATTGCTATGAGTCAGATCCGACTTAATGGCATTGAATTTTTGGTTTATTTAAGATTCTCTCAAGTGATTGTAGAGATCGTTTAAAAATGAAGAAAGTCATTGTTTCCCAGGATACAGACTGGGACAGGGATCAGCTCTTTTCTGAGCTAATACAGTGGCAAGAAAGCCAGCTGTTCCCACAGCACACATATCTGAGATCCTTTCTCACTCAAAAAGGTCGGCTTGTGCTTTAAGATCCCTGCCTCCTGCTCTTGTCCTCTTCCTGGGCTCCAGAGGTGTTGGAGAAGGGATGAATTAAGTCAACCTTGAGACATGGAAAGGTTCTTCACTCCCTCTTCTCACAGCAATTCGTACATGTCTCTCTACTGGTATTTTTAAGAACAGCTCTGGTGGCGTAGGGAGCTCTGGTGGTGTAGTGCCTAAGGCATTTGACTGCTAACCAGAAGGCTGGTGGTTCAAACCCACCAGCCACTCCTTCCTTGGAAGGAAGACTGAGCAATCTTCTTCCGAAGAGATACTGCCTCGGAAACCCAAGGAGGGGTCACTATGAGTTAGAAATGACTCAACAGCAGTGAGTTGTGATTATCCATGCATGTTACAACATGGATGGACCTTGAAAACATACTATGTGAAAGAAGGCAGACACAGGAGACCACATACTGTCTGATTCCACTTATATGAAATCTCCAGAACAGGCAAATCCATAACAGAGAGTAGTTCCCAGGAACTGCGGAGGTGCAGGGAGAGGAGACTGGGGAGTGACTGCTAATGGGTGCGAGGTCTTATTTGAGTTGATGCAGGAGTTCTGGAATTAGATAGTAGTGATGACTGCACAATTCTGTGAATGTACCAAAAACACTGAATTGTACATTTTACAAGGGTGAATTTTATGGTATGTGAATTCTATCACAATAAAGCTATCATAAAATAAAAGGGAGCCTATTGAACAAAGAAAAATAACCAGTGGCTGAATGAATAGGACATTGGAGAGGCTGATAGTTACAACCTACACACAGGTGAATAAAAGTAGAGATTGCTTTACAGAGGGAATAGGTTGAAATGAAAGGGCAACACTGGTTTTGACATGGTGATAAAATGTGTTCAGAGCACATATTGTCATTCTGTGTTATAGGATGTGGCAGAGATCAAAAAGTGGACATAAGCAAGGCCATCAGGAGACCAGAA